ATGTTTCTATATGCCACCATTACACATTACTAACTCTGTGTCTCCTCTCTCCCGTGGTGTGTCCTCTCTCTCTTTGTACCTTTCTGCAGGTTGCCCTGGCCCTGGAGCTCTATGTCTCTGACGAGCAGTCACCAGCCACATCGACCTGATCAGTGTTTGATTGTTGTGTCTTGTTGCTTTTCTTCTTTTGTCTCTCCTCTATCCACTCACCCCAACCGGTCGAGGCAGAAGGCCGCCCACCAAGAGCCGGGGTCTGTCGGAGGTTTCTTCCGTTAAAGGGAGTTTTTCCTCCCCACTGTCGCCAAGTGCTTGCTCAAGGGGGATTTGTTGGGTTTTCCCTATGTAATAATAGTGATAACAGTAAGGTCTAGACCTTACTTTGTAAAGTGTCCTGAGATGACTTTTGTTGTGATTTGGCGCTATACAAATAAAATTTGATTTGATTTGATTTAAACCCGATCAGCGCAGAATCAGACATCACAGAGTGATTGGCCAGTCACTGGTCAAGGCCGACCAAACTGAAAACCGGCCATTTCCCTCTCCACTAATCGATTGTTGCACCTCTTGATTTATCACCAATGTATCATTTGGGCCGTAGTTCTAACCTGTTTTAAGTAAGAATTAAAGAACCAAAGGAACAAAAACTGGAGGCTCTGATCTCGTAATTATGACTATGTGATCATTAAGAGATCCAAATAATTGTGTATTGTAATTGCATACTGCGTAGCTCAGACTGAGTTTCAAAGGTGTGAAAAAACCCCCAGGGGACTCCGACAAACCCACGCACACCCTTGTGGTGAAAAAGCTGGATCTGGTTCAAGTTTGGACACACTGCAGTGACATCAATCGGCAAAGGTGCACTGTTGACCAATCACCTACATGGAACAGCCAGAACATGGACACCCACGGGAAGAAGACTCTTTTGTTTACCTTGTTAGCATGAGATAATCACTGCTATTCACTCTCAAACTGTAGCCATAGTTAACACACTATAACAACACCCAAGTGTTTTCATTAGTTAGGGTACTGGATGTTAACAGTGTTTTTTTATCTATCCGTGCCAATATACTGGTGGTAGAATTGGTGCTAACACAGAGTAGGCTACATTACCAGCACAGCTAACCAAAACACAATGGAATCTTGCAAGCTGGAAACACAAATGAAGTCACGTCAACTTGTCATAACAGGACCGTAACATGCACGCCTGTAACACTCCCCCTGTAATGCCTCACTCCCTCTTGACCAACATAGCCCCTTGCAGTGTTTCTTCAACCATTCATTTGTCAAATAGTTCACAGTAAATATTGAATAGCCTTTTAACTGGAAATGCCAATCCCTAGTTAATATAGCTCAATTGCATTTATATATTGACAGCCATGAGCTCCCACCCTTTCTCTGATTGGTTAAGAGTTGCATCCTGGTCAGAAACTTTTAGAAGGGAATATCTCTGCACTGCTGCCAGGCTGTTTGATGAGTCTGTAGTCACAGGAGCCTTCAACAGCAACTCTCCCCATTAAGATAAGTTCTGGGGAATGTTTCTAATAAAAATATTTGAATAATGTTACTTAATGTAGCTTTAACCCACCTGACCCAGGGTTTGTTTAAACATCTAGTGTGAACAGTCATGTCATGCCCAAGTGAATGAACATACAGTTTGAGCAGCAAAGTCACAAATTCCAGGTCCAATTAAAACATATAATGTAACTTCACACATTTTACACAATCAAGAAAAAAAAAAAAACACATAGGCTGTCGGAAAACCCTGTTGGCAGAAGTAATAAGACCAATACTACCACTATTAACAATAATTATAATAACTTTCTAAAAAAAAATCTAAAGTATTCTATAATGTTAAGTCTATGCATGCACATTTTTGTGCACTAGGAAGAAGATGAAATCAAGGATAGTGTATTAAGTAGAAAAGCACTCTATAAACATACAAGGTGATTTAGAATAATAAAAATGTTAAATATACACAACTAAGTTCACGGATTAAATCATAATAAACTGCCAGTATAGCACTTTCCTTGTAATAAAAGAAATCCTATACAAAGCAAAAATACTAACATACAAATAATAATAATATTCCTTGCATTACTGTTCCACAGAGCACAGGACAGTTCACTCTTACCTCTACAGCGCCATCTCTGCCTGCAGACCACTGTTGGTTAGCATCAGGGACCAGTAAACACTGGCACAGTTTTCGGAAGGCCTTGTCCCCACTGACTACAAGTTCTTCTTCTATGGTGTCATCCAGTGGTTTTCTCTCAGTGAAATCTGAGTCCCAAACTGCGTCCACCCAGTCTGGAAATCACATTGTTTATCAAATTACCTGAAGTGATGCAACAGAACAACAGACCTGATTTCACCTAGAAAGAGAACTGCTAAAAATAGGGCTGCATGAAGTGATTATTTTCATCATCTATTAATTTGCCTAATACCGTCTAGCTTTACCAATGAATTTTTTGCTGTAAGATGTCAGCAAAACAAAAAGTATCTCAGAGCCCAGGGCTTTATTTTGTCATTTTATTCTTCTAATAGTAATATTTTTTGCTTCAAAAGTTACTGAAACATTTATCAATTAACAAAATAGTTGCAAATTTATTGTTGTAATTGATAAATTGAGACAGTCAACACACAAATGTGCCAAAGAATGGAAGAGCATTCATATAGAAGCTCATTATATGAGTAAAATTATATTTATCCATAATTTTGCCCCAAAGAGGGGAGTGTCAGGCCATGCTGTCATAAATCTTCACAGCCCCACAGTAAACAACACCATTTTCCAGGCCTAACCTACCCTTAACACAAAGAATACACACACGTGTGCGCCAAATTTTAGTTTATCTGTTAGCTCCTATTTTGCAAGTGTTGGAAATGAGAAGACATTTTAACAAAAAAAAAGCCAGGAGATGAAGGTATGCACCAACTTATAAAATGGATAATAAGGCGCCTTTACTGCACAGTTTGAGTTATTGAAGTAGGATATCTTACTAAGGACGTAAGTACAATAACGAATGTGTTTTTAACATTGAAGTACACTTGATCGAGACGGGAACAAGCTAGTAACCGTGGATATATTACAGAAATTGCAATAATACCTCACTGAAACCAGGCGAGCCTGGTGTTTACGGCAAAAGGGTACGAGTGTCCCCGTAAGGATCTAATCAGTTTACGGTTAAATCACCGGTGTTAGTGCTCTTTTGACGACTCCAGTTAAAACAAACCTAACGTAAATAATTAACATGATGTATGATTAGAAAGGTAAGGCATTAAACTTCACCCTTACACAGTTAGCGTTACGATAACTGTAAGCATTCAAGGATTGTTTATATTAGTGGTTAAAGTAAAATTGTAATGATGGTAACGTAATTTCGGCTGTTCCAATTAACATTATGTCAGGGACTTCGTGCCGAACTCCTTTTATGAGCCTGCCAATTCAGTTGTTAAGCCTTGGTAACGTTTGAAGACGACTATATTACACTACCATATTTTTCTGGTAATTCAAAATAACAGAATAATTATGCGTACAACATACACAAAACATAACGATACCTTCTGGGATTTCATTTAACTTCAAACACTGCAACGCTGACATTAACTCCATCTTGTTTCTGCTTTGAATTGGCCCGCCAGAAAAATAACTCAGTCTTCTTCGTCTTTCTCTTTGGGGTTTTATAGCAGTCGGCATCCTTCATGTTGCGCTACTGCCACCTTCTGTCTTTGGTCTTCGCCAATGTCCCATTTCTTTTTATTACATTAATTAGCCCGGTTGTCCTCAAATTTTTACCTCAGTTTCTCAGACATCTTCTGCCTTGTCCACTATACAATGAGGTCATGACAGCCATTTATTCGCGCCTCTCCTGTCAAATCTGCCACCTGTGATTGAAGTGTAGCCGCACGTCTTCTTCTTCTTCTTCTTCTTCTTCTTCTTCTTCAGCTGTTTTTAATGGCGGTTGGCAACCAGCTTTAGGTGCATTACCGCCACCTTTCAGACTGGAGTGTGGATCAGAACGGTCCCTACCTACTACCACACCTAAATAACCCCACTCAGTTCACCTTATATTATCTTGTGTAACCCTGTGCCCTCTAAAAACCTAATAAATGTTCTGTATTTTATATCCCTTGACCTTTGTCCCAACACCTCCGGTAAACTAAAGTTCATTCCACCTCTTGAAACGGTATTTTTAAATAATTACCTCTCCCGCCTGAACCTGGGACAGCTCATTAAAACATGTTCCACTGTTTCTTGTACTCTATATATCTCACATTCCCCTGTAGTGTGCTTCTTGATTAACTTCAATGTACAATTTAAACCAGTATGCCCAAATCTCAATCTTGATACCATATCTTCTTTCTTTCTATTTCCAGTACTTCCTCTCATTTCTCCTACTTTCCTTTGAATGTTATAATAGAACCTACCTTTGCCATCTTTGTCCCACAGTTCTTGACATTTTTCTTTCAGTTTCCTTTTAATCAAACTCTTTACCTCAGTCTTACTATAGCTTACTTCCACACAAACATTTCATTTTTTTAGCGCAGCCTTTGCAAATTTATCTGCTAATTCATTTCCTTCAACCCCAGTATGTGCTGGTATCCAAACTAGCCTAATATCTATTCCAGCCCTCTGATATCCGAATAGTATACAAGCTATTTCCAGTATTATGTCTTGCCTTGAGTCTGACTGGATGTTTTGAATACTCACTAAAGAACTGCTGGAATCTGATCCAGTGAGTACTTTCAATGGTTTAAGTACCCATTCTAATGCTAGTACAATAGCTAGCAATTCTCCTGTGTATACTGAGAGATTATCACTGGTCCGTTTATTTGATTTCACATGTAATTCCAGTATAATGAATGCTGAACCAATTTTACCATTCACTGTCTTAGATGCATCTGTATATATTTTAAGAAATCCTGCATACTTTTTATTTATATATCCAATTACTTCATGTTGTGTCACACTGTCATTCTTCTCTATTTCTACAAAAGCTCATACCTATATTTACTTCCACAAACATCCAAGGTGGGATCACAGATAATGGAACAGTAGGACTTATTTTTTTGTCCTCCAAGCTTGCCTCACTAATTTTACCTTCTATCATCCATCCAAAACTCCTCTGCTGACCTTTCTCTTTTTCTTGACAAGTTTCCAGTAGTCTTTTTGCGGGGTAACCCCCTTTGTGCCCTTTTAGGTTAGCCCAATAAGTTAGTGCCAATTGTGTTCTTCATAAGGCCAGAGGTAATTCACCCATTTCCACCTGTAGGGCCGAAACTGGTGTTGTCTTCATGGCTCCACAGCACAGTCTTAAAACTTGATACTGTATGATGTCCAGTCTGTTCAACAAGGTGTTACACACGGTGAGCTTATTAAGTGAAGTTTTCACTGCAAAGCCATATACAACACATCCAGTCAAGCATTTATCTAATGAATCCTAAATATACTCTACAGTGTTGAACGGCTAGCTCCCCAGTCTGCTCCTGCCAGACATCACATGATATTCAGTATCTTTTTACATTTTGCTATCAGTTTTTTAGAATATCTTTCCATGTCAATCTTTTGTCAAACCACACCTCCAGATATCAGGAGTTAAACGTTTCCAGTGGTACACCGTATATCTTTTGCTCTTTTGTTAGATTTCTTTTAGCAATAAAGAACTGTACCTGAACTAAGACCTTTTCAGTTCAGTTCAGTAGTTTATTGTCACTTTTATCATACATTTTCAGTATATATGGAAGCGAGATACCGTTCTCCCTTCATCATAATGCTCAACACACATCTGTAATAGTCACCCTTTTAAAACAAAGCAAAACAATCCACACATTAAAAACACAGTGACAGATTAAAAATGCATGATAAATTAAAAGTACAAAATCAGCATGGATATGGCAAGGTGCTAGATATATTGTATAAAGTACAGATATAAGAACCCTGATTGCAGTGTTAGGCAATTAGATTAAGTGCATGTGCATTTGTTCATCTCCTCCATTCCCTGGTGCTAACCAAAGAAATGGAGGGCAGCGTGTGTAGTTTATTCATTTTTTTCACAGTACTTTATACATACAGTACACACATGCTGTCTGTGTGTGTGTGGTTTGTTTGTTAAGCATCTTTCTGATTTTTCTAAAAGCATTTCCAATTTGAATTTAATAATTATTCCATATATAGGCCTACACAGTGCCTACAGTGGTGCATTTCTGAGATTCTGCACAAACCTGTAAAAGCAGTAGACTATATGCATTCATTTATTCATTCATTCAACATATAGGCTACATCACCATGACAATATTAAAATAAACCAGAACTCCCGAAAGGAAGAAGAAAAAACAAAGGGTGCATTAATTCTAAAATAAAAAGGGAACATTTAGGGTAAAGGCAGATTCTGTGGTCTCAAGCTTTTTAATGACTGCTTTTATCTGTTATTATTCAAATAAGCATTGCAAGGTAGGTCTAAAGTGGAGTAGCCTAGTATTTGGGATATATGGTCCTGTACAAAGACAAATTTTATACACCAAATCATAAAAAGTTGGGACAGTATGTAAAATCTAAATTAAAACTGAAAATAGTGATGTGTAAATCATCTATGTCTTGTATTACATTGAAAACAATACAGCAGCACAGTATTTGATGTGATACCTCATCAGTTTTATTCTGTGTTCAAAATAAACACACTTAATAAACTCACTTCAGTTCTGATGCCTACAACACAGCGTCTACAAGTAGATAGCGGCCGAGCACTTCATTTGAAGTATAATGACATCTTCCTAGTCCCAGTCATTGAGCCAAAGTACTGAAGAAAACTTTCAACTAAGCATGTCCATTTCTTTCTCCATGGCCTCCATGTTATTCTCCAGGCTGTATGTGGCCCATTTGTTGAGCCTGCTGTACAGAGGCAGCCCATTCTTCTCCCTGTAGAGGTAGACACCAGTCACTCTGTTCCAGTTAGTGCTGCAAATAGGACGAGCACTCTGGTAGTCAGCCAGCAGCTCTTTCTCTTCCTTCTCCAGTGCCACAAAGCCAAAAAAGCTCTTAACACTCTCTGCAGCCAGGAGGCGGGCATGGACAGCTGCCGTGCGTTGGAAGAGGATGTTTTCATTATTGCGGTATTGGGACCAGTAGTCCTCCTGCTGGTAGCTAAGAGGAGAACAGCAGCGCTTCACACACTGCATCAGGAACACCATCACAGACATTCCTGCCACCAGAAGCCAGCCTATTAGCTGAAAAGAATGAACAGTCACCAAGTCAGCACCTTAAGTAATGAATCATTTACTTTTGTGTTCACTGTTTTTTCTACCTGTGTACTTGTAAATTCTCAATCTTTCAACAATGGCAACACATGTATAGGACATATACATGACATACTGTACCTTCATAAGGCACCTGCTATTATCAATCACTCATTACATGTGTCTGTAACATCACCATCAAATGTCAGAAAGATCTTTTGTGTTCAAAGCTGAAACTGTCATGGCTACAGCTAATTCATAGAATAACGGAGAGGATTCAGCACCTAGTTATACACACTCGGTTGAGAATGTTTCTCAAATATTATTTACAGTCAATTCATAAACTTTTGTGCATCTTCATTGTCACATTTTAGGTCCTGGATTTGTTTATTGTAGCTAAACACATGTAGAAGCAGGAAATAACCAAGCTCCATCAAATTGAAGAGAAAAAAAGATGCATGTCAAGCCAAGTCAGGATGCTTTCCTTTGAAAACTATAACTCTCAACAGCTCCAAAGGCCCTTACGCCCCTTTCAGACATGGTAGCCATGGATTTACAGACTACATGTAGCCATGTAGCTGTTGTTTTTTTTTCCTTTCAGACATAGAGTTGTTGCATGCAAAGTTCCCGGCAAAGTTTTGTTCAAACACAGCAGGACCTAGCTAGGTACAGCCACAACATTTATGTGATATCCAACATCACACAAGCTAGATGCAAAGCAATTTTCCCAGCTGTTAGCACACACTGCTAAACCATATCTTCTCTGTACCAGTTTAAAATAAACTTTGTACCAGCTAGTGATGTTATGTTCTTTTTATATTTGTGCACCAATTTTACTGCCTGCCTTAAATACACTCCACTGAGAGAGAGAGAGAAAGCAGTGATGGCTGAGTGAGCTGAATGAACTGAGGGAGGGCAAATTGAGAGAAAGCAGTGATGGCTGAGTGAGCTTGAGAGTGAATGAACTGAGGGAGTGCAAATGTGTATTAACTTTATTAGCAATCTGGTTCATTATTTTCTATCTCCACTGACATTGCGATTAGTTCTAGTATTTTCAAATTCAAATTTTATTTGTATAGCACCAAATCACAACAAAAGTCATCTTAGGGCACTTTACAAACTAAGGTCTAGACCTTACCATTATCACTGCTATTATAGAGGAAAACCCAACCAATCCCCCTTGAGCAAGCACTTGGCGACAGCAGGGAGGAAAACCTCCCTTTAATGATAGAAATCTCCAACAGACTCAGCCTTCTTCAAGGTTCTAGTCTTGTACAGGCTAGAAAGATCATTGAAATGAGTTCCAACAATCTTACCGCACTCTATAACAATACTTTGTAATCTGCTCCTGCAGTGAATCAGAAAAAACATAGCATGCAAGTATGTCTGACATAGCACCGTCATCATCTTGAGCATGCCCTTACTAGCAATCTGACCACACATAGCTGAAAAGAATGTAAGCAGCTATTTGACTAGTTCGGACCAGGTAAGATTTCCAGTCACACCTTGCCAGCTACATAACTCAGGGATTTGTTCAGACATGATGCATAGAAGTGAAATAGCACCCAGAGAGTTAAATGGTCTTATACTTGCATAGCACTTTTCTGTGCATTGCAGCACACTCAAAGTGCTTTCACACTATTTGGCCATTCACCTATTCACACTCACACACTGGTGTTATCACCGGGAGCAACTGGGGGTTCAGTGTCTTGCTCAAGGACACTTCGACATGTTGACTAAACAAACCACTAATCCTCCAGTTAGGAAACAACCTGCTCTACCTCCTGAGCCACAGCTACCCCCCAGCTAAGAGATGGCTAAGAGTTCATGTCTGAAAAGGGTTTAAATTACTCAAAATGTGTTAAAATTTTAAAGGATTGTAAATGTAAAATTTGAAAGCTTTGTGCTCAAAATGTGCACAGCTTCAGTATTCTCATAGTGAGGTTGTTAGACCCCATGTGGTTTGTTTGTTTTTATTTGTTGTGTACAGTATGCTCAATATGTTTTTGCTCCCCCCAACAAGTTACATAAAAATGATATGAGAGATTTAGGCCTAAATCTGGCAGTTTCAGATTTGGTAGAAGTTGTATATTTAACCTCTGACTGAGCTGGAGTAGTCCACTTAGGCTGAATATATGGTGGACCAACATGATGATGAATTAACAAAAAAAGTTAATCATTGAGCTTTAGAGGTGTTGGTAGGTGTATATGTGAACTGTGGACAGATCCAGGCTAACCATCTCCCCTCAGTCTTTAGGCTAAGCTATATGGTATTGATCCTCTCACTTAACTTTTGTTAAAAAAGAAGAAGAAGAAAAACAGTTATTTATTCTTTAATGGTTTTGGTTTTAAATTAAAAACCAAATTACATTAAATAAAAATAATAAATCCAAATACTAGTTAAATATTCACAAGAGTAAACTGTAATAAATTCAAGTTAAGTTTGACATTTAATTGGATTAAAATTGTTTAGCCTACTTTAATAAGTGCCGTGTGATTGGACCCAAATGCAAGACAGTCAGTAAGTAAAAAAACTTTATTGCAGGGTATGAGACTGGGGCAAAGCCAGACCACAGTGAGTTCCATACAGCTCAAGCTTGTGGTCTTAAATTTGGACAGGTAGACCAAGAGGAGCTCGTGGTGGCAGCCAGAGGCCAGCATCAAGGAGCCCCAGGGGGAGGCGAGGAGGACTGCAGATGGTGGTTTAAGAGGAACAGGCGGGTATTTTTAGGTGTGTCCAGAGGAGGACTGGGCCTCATACAATGGACAAGCAATATGTAGTATGTAGCTTCTTATAAATATTTTGGTTTTTATGTTGATGAACATGTGATGTTTGAAAATGTAAAGCTCATTACAAGCCTTAAAGTTTCCTGTCAAACTGAAATGCCATTTTAGCTCAGCTGTTGAAGGCATTTGCAAATGTGCTACCAACTTCCCTAGGCAGCCAGTAACTGTTATTCTTATTTGAAAAAACAGGCTTGCTGTTATTACACCCTGGGTGCACATATGTAGAAGCTAAAAAGTCCACACATTGAACATAGGAACACACACGTCGGAATACAATTGACTGATTGCTTCTGACTGCTATGTTAAGTAAAAATAGGAACATAAAAATAAACTTTTATGTGACTCACAAATACTATGAAGCATTTCTGCACATGTGTATGTTGGATAAATTCTTGCAGCAGATTGTTTCACAATTAGAGGGCCCTTTTGGAAACAAGGCCTGGGACAATTGCGTCGGTGTTCCTTTAATGTCAGCAGCCCTAATTCTACAGTAGGAGCAAATGACATACAGTGGGTATGGAAAGTATTCAGACCCCCTTAAATTTTTCACTCTTTGTTATATTGCAGCCATATGCTAAAATCATTTAAGTTCATTTTTTTCCTCATTAATGTACACACAGCACCCCATATTGACAGAAAAACACATTGATTATACTGATTGGACGTGATTAGGAAAGCCACACACCTGTCTATATAAGACCCTACAGCTCACAGTGCATGTCAGAGCAAATGAGAATCATGAGGTCAAAGGAACTGCCTGAAGAGCTCAGAGACAGAATTGTGGCAAGGCACAGATCTGGCCAAGGTTACAAAAAAATTTCTGCTGCACTTAAGGTTCCTAAGAGCACAGTGGCCTCCATAATCCTTAAATGGAAGACGTTTGGGACGACCAGAACCCTTCCTAGAGCTGGCCGTCCGGCCAAACTGAGCTATCGGGGGAGAAGAGCCTTGGTGAGAGAGGTACAGAAGAACCCAAAGATGACTGTGGCTGAGCTCCAGAGATGCAGTCGGGAGATGGGAGAAAGTTGTAGAAAGTCAACCATCACTGCAGCCCTCCTCCAGTCGGGGCTTTATGGCAGAGTGGCCCGACGGAAGCCTCTCCTCAGTGCAAGACACATGAAAGCCCGCATGGAGTTTGCTAAAAAACACCTGAAGGACTCCAAGATGGTGAGAAATAAGATTCTCTGGTCTGATGAGACCAAGATAGAACTTTTTGGCCTTAATTCTAAGCGGTATGTGTGGAGAAAACCAGGCACTGCTCATCACCTGTCCAATACAGTCCCAACAGTGAAGCATGGTGGTGGCAGCATCATGCTATGGGGGTGTTTTTCAGCTGCAGGGACAGGACGACTGGTTGCAATCGAGGGAAGGATGAATGCGGCCAAGTACAGGGATATCCTGGACGAAAACCTTCTCCAGAGTGCTCAGGACCTCAGACTGGGCCGAAGGTTCACCTTCCAACAAGACAATGACCCTAAGCACACAGCTAAAATAATGAAGGAGTGGCTTCACAACAACTCTGTGACTGTTCTTGAATGGTCCCGCCAGAGCCCTGACTTAAACCCCATTGAGCATCTCTGGAGAGACCTGAAAATGGCTGTCCACCAACGTTTACCATCCAACCTGACAGAACTGGAGAGGATCTGCAAGGAGGAATGGCAGAGGATCCCCAAATGCAGGTGTGAAAAACTTGTTGCATCATTCCTAAAAAGACTCATGGCTGTATTAGCTCAAAAGGGTGCTTCTACTAAATACTGAGCAAAGGGTCTGAATACTTATGACCATGTGATATTTCAGTTTTTCTTTTTTAATAAATCTGCAATAATGTCAAACATTCTGTGTTTTTCTGTCAATATGGGGTGCTGTGTGTACATTAATGAGGAAAAAAATGAACTTAAATGATTTTAGCATATGGCTGCAATATAACAAAGAGTGAAAAATTTAAGGGGGTCTGAATACTTTCCGTACCCACTGTATATTAGACTGGAGGACTTGTTGGTATTATCACCTAAACATTTGAATTCATGACATACTCATTCATTTAATGTTATCTATTATAACCTTTCTGTGTCCTGAACAGCATCACAGACAGTTGAACATCTTGGAGTAAACTGTAAAAGTTACTGAGGTCCAGACCTCAATGGTGGCTACTACTGAGTGCTAATAACATCTATTGAACACTTAGGAGATAATTACTCATGTGAATTGGATTCGCTGTGGCGACCCCTAACAGGAACAGCCAAAACTATAGTAGAGTAGAACACTTAGGTGATAACACTAATACAGTCCTGTAAAAACAAATCATAAAATGCTCCACTACCTGAGATTCATATTTTAATCGCCGTTCAGTTTCAGCCAAGAAGCCATGCAGCTCCGCTGGAACACTTTGCTGACACGGAAATTTTGCCATGACCTCTGAACTCTGACCTGAGGGGAAGCCCTCCAATGTACCGGGGTCAATAAATTCACTGAGGGCACATGTGTATGCTTGTCCCTGCAGCAAAGAGATAACAACCCATGTCAGTGGGGCCACCACAGCTCGACCGAAGATACTTCCTAGCAGTGCAAAGGCTGCAGCTCCCGACAGCTTCCGACACTTTCTGAGCAGACACTCAGTCACAAGGTCCCAGGTGCTCTTGTTTATCATTATTCCTATGAGGAAAAACACCAGTGCTGGAACACCGATGGCAGCCAGGCCATAGCGGTAGTTCCTCCCAGAAGAACAAGGGCAGTCAAAAGCAAAAATATTGTATGCAGTCTGGCCAGCCACGGTTCCCAGAGCAATGAGACCATTGAAGATCATCACATCTTTACTCTTGAAGAAGAGGGACACAAACTTAAAGTTCTCTGTGATGAGTGCAGCTGCAGCCATGTTGGGTTTTTATGGTGAATAATACTGATAAGGTACTTGGTTTACAGCAACGTCAGGCTGCAGACAAACAGACAAGAGAAATAAATAAGAAACTAAGGGTTTAAGACAGATTTTTGTTTCAAACAAGCTTGCAGTAAGTTTTGTAACAACTGTTCTGTATGAATGGATCTAGTTTGCTGGCAGAATATGTGTTCCAAATACATCATGCTTTCATAAATGAATAAATAAAAAGAGACTGTTAATAGCCTCCTCAGATTGCAATTGAAAACAAAGAGTTACTATGAAATGCAGTCATGCAAACTCACGCTGTGGCTTATCCTGAAGTGGAATATGTGACTCAGTCTATATAAATCCATCCAATACAAGGACAACGAAAGAAAAACTGTTGAGTCCAAAACATAAAATCAGTGTGTTATGTGTAAGGATAAAAAGAGAGGTCCTGTTTTTGTGAGCAACTTTGAGTCCATATTAGCAGTCTGAGCACTAGTGATGACTCACAGTAAGGAACCGCCCTCCAGTTTCCTCCCAGTTTAAAAAAAGTACAAAATGTGGTATGTAAGTGAAAGCATGTGTTGGAGAACCCAGAGTAATGCGATAGCAAAGCAGGGCAGCTCAGGAACCCACCCATGTTTAAAACACACAATCAACAAGCCATTATATATGTTATATTTTTATATACTTTTTATTATATTTCTTTTCACTCACTGGTTGAAATGCCTTTAGATCTTAATGCCACTGTTTATCTACTTTATATTTCAGTTGTTTTGTTTGGCATTCAGTGTGGAGGGCAAAGTAAGAATTTCATTGTGCAGAGAAACACGTTTCCATACTGTGTATATGACAATAAACACTTTGAATCTTGAATTAAACTGCACTGAGTTTAAGGATAATTATTAATCCACATTAAATTTCAGTGAGAATTTTATAACATTTTTGGAAATGTCTTCTTGTCCAAGGGGATACAAATGAAAATTATTTGATTAACCAAACCAATGCAAGAACACCCAACACTTCAGGGACTGCTAAAACCTGAAAAGTGACAGTCACTATTTTGTCTACATGTAATACTGTTAAAGGCATGCTAAAAAGCAAGTGTGGACAGCCCCTCCTGTTTGAAACCCCACAAGAGACAGAATGACTGTAAACAATCAACCCTTAAACCTTTTGTAGTCATACTGTATCTATTGGGGTCATTTTTTTACTTGATCTTTGTTTTGTGTCTCTCTGTGGTTGTGTTGGGCAGCACAGTGGTTAGTGCTGTTGCCTCACAGCAAGAAAGTTCTGGGTTTGAGCCCAGGCCGACCTGGTGCCTTTCTGTGTTCTCCTCCTGCCTGCATGGGTTCTCTCTGGGTATGCCAGCTTCCTCCCACAGTCCAAAGCCATGCAGCTTAAATTGATTGGTGACTCTGAACTGTCCATGGGTGTGTGGGTTGTTTGTCTACATATCAGCCCTGTAATATACTAGTGACCTGTCCAGGGTGGACCCTGCCTCTCGCCCATTGTCAGCTGGGATTGGCTCTGAGGATTGACTCCCTTTTGGAACCTGCCTCAAGTGGCCATTCAAGGAACTGCAGGTTTTGGAACTTCTTCATCTTCATCTGCTTTATTTCTCAGCCACTGAGGTTGCCGTTTGAGTTAAACTAGCAAATCAACCACATACAGTATATAATATCCTGGCAGATACTGTCACAGCATTATCAAGAATTTTTTTTATCCCATTATGGCAAAATTCCAAATATTGTTACATCCTTAATATATAACAGTCACTTATACAGAGGCTCTGGCTCAGATCTCAACCGAGCTGAACTATGGGGAATGTCAGCGTGACCTGGTAGACAGTGCTCCCCGCACCATCATCAAAACATCAAGTGAGGGTAATTGTTTAGGAAAAATGTTGTTCATTCATTCATTAGATCATTGAACCAGGAGGCTTGTGATAGAACAGCACCTTAATTAGACACGATGGTGGGTTTTGGCCATGGCAGTGGTATGGTCCAACACACTGATCCAGGCCCAAATATTTCATGATCTTAACTGGAATCTTATATAGATACTGTGATTCAGGGTCTCCAGATGATGGACTTTGGTGATCCCATGACTTTTCTTCTCACACTGCCATGAAGCTAGCCTTTGTAATTTTCAGCTAAGTATCTTGGAGACAGGTAGGAAGGTGCTAGGTGTGTCATCTGGAAGGAGGAAAGAAGATAAAGAAATGTGGTGGTGGAACGAAGAAGTATAGGACAGCATTCAGAGGAAGAGGCTAGCTAAAAAGAAGTGGGACGTAGAAAGGACTGAAGAAAGTAAACAGGATTACAAGGAACTGCAGCGTAGAGTGAAGAGGGAGGTGGCAATGGTCAAACAGAAAGCATATGATGAGTTGTATGCCAGGTTAGACACAAGGGAAGGTGAGAAGGACTTGTACAGATTATCGAGACAGAGAGATAGAAATGGGAAAGATGTGCAACAGATAAGGGCGATTAAAGACAGAGATGGAAAGGTGCTAACAAGTGAGGAGAGTGTGCAGAGAAGATGGAAGGAGTATTTTGAAGAGCTGATGAATGAGGAAAAGAAGGTGAAAGGGAAAGAAGGGGGGGAGACGTGAATATTATAGAGCAGGAAGTAGCAAAGATTAGAAAGGATGAGGTGAGGAAGGCTCTGGATCTTTAAGAACAAGGGTGATGTGCAGAGTTGTAGCAACTACAGAGGTATAAAGTTGATGAGCCACACAATGAAGTTATGGGAAAGAGCAGTGGAAGCTAGGCTAAGAAAGGAAGTTGATATCTGTGAGCAGCATTATGGCTTCATGCCCAGAAAGAGCACTACTGATGCAATTTTTGCTCTGAGAATGTTAATGGAGAAGTATAGAGATGGTCGGAAGGAGCTGCATTGTGTCTTTGTGGATTTAGAGAAAGTGTACAACAGGGTGCCGAGAGAGGAGCTATGGTGCTGTGTGAGGATGTCAGGAGTGGCAGAGTTTAAGTATTTAGGGTCAAGAGTCCAGTGCGATGGGGAGTGTGGAAAAAGTGGGGACAAGGTCAGAGAGGCCAGATTGAGATGGTTTGGACATGTGCAGAGGAGGGATAGTGGTTATATTGGTAGAAAGATGGTGGAGATGGAGCTGCCAGGCAAGAGGTCAAGAGGAAGGCCAAAGAGGAGATATATGGATGTGCTAAAAGAGGACATGAAGTTAACTGGGGCAAGAGTAGAGGATGCCAAGGATAGAGTTAGGTGGAAACAGATTATTTGCTGTGGTGAACCCTAACGAGAACAGCCGAAAGTAGAAGATCTTGGATTTCCTTGAAATGTATGACAATATGTATAAATTAATAACATAAATTAACTTATATGAGGAATATGTTAGCAAACACTTGCTTATTCTATGTTCACCAGCTATTCTTGAACAGTGCCTGTCTTCTCTTTGCTGTTGACCTTACAGGGTACTGTGGCTTTTTCAGAGCTTCTTTCTGAAACCAGGTGCCTGCTGCTGGAAACCAAATGAGAGAGAAGCTGAAAACATTGAGCTAAAAGAGACTAAAATGCTCCAGAGTGCTGAGAGAAACTGCAGAACTGGAAGTAACTATGAGCAGCAGCTTACACACTTTTTTAGATTTATTTCTGCATGTTTAAAGAAAAGCAAAAGAAACGAAGTAGAAAGCAAATTTTTTTGTGAGTCTGTAAAGTTTGTTTGTTTTTAAATGGCCATTTGCATGTTTCCATCAACCTATGTGGGTGAGCTTCATATCAACAACCTGTATGCAAAATCAGGCAGCACCAACCCTTCCATATTCAAATGAGCTTTGCAGCATGATTTGGCGCTATAGGTAACAATTTTTAAAGTAATCTATGTGTACACATTTGGTTGTACAAAACATGTTATGCTTTTATTGTTCCATTTTGTTGTCTTTGAAGTATTCAATGCAGGAAATTTAGTCACTACGACCACTGTCTCTTCTCAGAGATCCATTTTGGTGTCAAATGTGCCCAGTCTTTCTCCATCTGTCCACTGGCTACTGATTTTGATCTTGTGTTCAGACAGCACACCTTGGGGTCTCTGTGAGCCAATAACTTGAGAAATAGATAATTCAAATGCTGCATCATCATAAAGACTGAACACAGGCAAATAGGATTTGTACAGAGACATCTGTGGGACTGTTCTTTTTTTAATATGTGTATATATTTTTAATATAAGTATTTAAGGTTCACAGCACATTGTTAAGATGATTAAATAGGACATTCACCACATCTAACATCAAATAGCATCTTTGAACAGAGAGAATTTACCCTTGCTGTCCACAAAGAGCTACCTGTTATCATATGACCAATAGTTCACAATTCAGTCCTGTGATGACACTTATGCTAGCTCCATTTGACAAATGAAGACTGCAGAATGTAGATGAAAGCTCTGTATCATTAATAACTGGATATCAGTCTGATTTCAGCAAAGCTTACTGCTAAGCAAAGATATCTTACATCTAATATGTCCATTGTCAGAACCTAACGAGCATTACATCCTGTGCTGCCCTTATCTGCCACCTGGCATAATCCCACGTTTCTCCCTCTCTCACAGCTGAGCAGAGGGCATGAAGGATCACTCCATACTACAACAATCAGCCAGTAACACAGACTGTATGAGCAGTTTATCAAACAGCTATTGAACAAGCAGAACATAAACTTACAGAAATGTGATGTCTACCCCACTTTGCCTGTGGTCCACTTACTGAGGTTGCAGTTTTATCTCTAAAGCAACAGGTAAAGTCCTCATTTTACCTCTAAACCTGCAAGTGGTTTAGTACTACCTCTTGAGGGGTGCCAAATTTTAGCTCCCGAATGCACCTACAAAGAACGTGGGGGACAATGGAAACAAACCCAGAACCTGTGATGAGCGTTACTCAGCTCAACATGTTTTGGTAGGTTCCGATGATGGAAAACCCATAGTAACTGTACTGAGGATCATGACATACTTCATGTTGCAACCACATACCAATGATTATGTCCTAGACATCAGCAGGGTGGGCCTTCCGTATTGTTTCAGTTTTATCAATTCACAGTCATGAATCCATGGCCCAGGATGTAAACAGAAGCATCTCTTCACAGGCTTGGTTGATGTGCAAATGGCATTAGGTTCGCATAACTGGTCTTGACAAATACAGTACATGAAACTTTTATGGACTGTATAACACTCACAGCAGTTCACTTGGTTAGGAACCGAAACACACATGTTACAGTTCTGTGAAACTTCAACCAGTTCCTATTGGAAACCGGTTCTTGATTCCCAACCCTAGACATCACTGTATAAAGTCTTCCCTTTACAGTCCTTCCAGGTAACACACATTCTGGGCCTGTGGGCAATCCTGGTCACGTTCAGTTCAGGTTTACTGTAGTACCACTTGTTGAGCAACTGGTCCATCTGCTCTTGCTTGGTTATCCCATGAAGTCTCTCCTCTTCTTCATCCTCCCATTCCTCTCCAAAGTTGGTGATGAAGGGCGGGTGGGGAAGACAGAGAATGGTGTCCTCTCTCATGTCCTCAAAGAACTGCACCACACATTTCCGGGCAAAGTCACGAGCATGTAGGATGCAGGTTTCGTCAAAAAGCTTCTGCTCCAGATCGAGGTAGTTGCTCCAGTAGCGCGTCTGCAGGAAGGTGGCGTGATCGTCAAAACAAGGCTTGATGAGGCGTGCCATTGCTCCCAGCACAATCAGGAAGAAAAGGATGGACCAGCCAACTGCCTAGACAGGGTGAGAAACGTTAGCTACACAAGCACCAGTAAAGTGGAAAATAGAGCATGGGAGCAGTGTTAGCCATGTAAAACACAATACTGCCAGTAACAACGCAGAAACATGATTTATGTCCATGACTTCAAAGCGTGCAGGAAAGCTTTGCCACATGCCTATGGCATTGTATGGTTTTTTTATGCTATACTATATTAACCATATTGTGATTTTTTTATTTCATTTTTCATATACGGTACATTTGTCATGTTTGCTAATTTTGCCCCATAATAAGTAACTACACATTAAGGCTGGAGGGCTGTGCTTGCTCATATTAGGTGTTTTGGAGTTGTTTCTATATGTAAATTCACCTCTAATTGTGTAAGTACAGGGATATAGAACAGATCAGAGTCATAATTTTTCACTGAGTGAACTTGTGTGTGTCCAACTTTGATAAACACCAGTTTGTCTGTATGCATGCTTTGATAAATGAGGCCCTAGGTGTTTGGAACAAATGACAAACCGCCTTGATCTGACAGAGCATTACAGTTCCACTGAATGAAGGCCTTTATAGACTAAAAGTAGAAAGATGTACTTGCATGCTGAAGGTGTAACAATTTACCTGTGAATAGCAGCGAATGTAACGAGAAACTGCTTTGTGGAAAGAGGTGTTGTTGAAGATAACATCCTCCTTACAGGGCACCTTGGCCATGATTTTGATTACATCCAGATCTGTACTGTTGGGAAAGCCTGAGGAAACATATCACATGGTGCAGCATACAAACTGACACCTGTGCACTATAGCATGGAGTGTAGTGATAATATTTATTGAATATATATTTCTCTATGTAGAATGTTACATGTTTGCAGATACCTGAGAAAAGTGTAGGGTCTACACTGACACTGAAGGCACAGATAAAGATCTTTCCATCTAGCAGAGTGACCAGGAGCCACACCATTGGGGCCAGTAAGGCCCTCTGGAGCATGGCTGAGAACAGGTACCTGCAGGAAGACATAAGACCAGATCTCATCCTTGCATTTTCTACAGCTTCACCTTTAGATTATAAATGATCTAAATAGATAAATAGCTATAAAGAAAAACTGTTGCTTATTATCAGCAGCATAGACTGACAAAATACATAGACTACAGTCATTAGTTTGCTCTATTGTCTATAGTGCATAATGAATTCTGGATTTAAAGAAATACAGTACTTAGAGTACAGTACTAAAGGCAGAGTCAGGACTTAGTTAGCCTAACTTAAGTTTAAGAATGGAAGCAAAGTGAGACAGCTGGCCTGACTCTCTCCAGCACCTCTCAGCGCACTAATTAACATATTTGTTTAATCTTTCAGTTTCAGTGGGAACAGTGTTGTTGGTCTGTTGTTGTTGGTCAAAGTCTGGAGTTATTTTTGTTGTGGCTCTTTTCAGGATAGATCGTAAGTTAACATGGATCTGTGACTGGCTTTGTTGATGTTCATGATGCTGAACGTCTGCTCACACACATAGGTCGAGCCAAACAATGCCAGCATTTTCTATGCCGTCCTCTGGAGGTTTGGAAACGTGGCTTCGTTAAGTGAAGCATAAAAGTAATTCAGTTTAAGAGAGTTGAACTTTGCCTTTAAAACGGAGTCAGACTGAAGATCTATTAGTTCCAATTGCAGCTCCTGTGGTGCTGATTCAGGGTCTTGTGACAGGGGACAGGACACCAGCTGAAGGGAATTGTCATTTTTTTCAGCTCATTCATGTGTGAAAAAATGTCCACAGCAAACGCAAAGCCACAAAGCCAGTTCTTGTTGCTCAGCTCAGGAAATTCGTCGGATTTCCCCATTAACTCCAAAAATGTGCTAATCTCCTCTTTGAGCTCAAACACTCGTTGAAACACATTGCCCAAACTTAAACAGCAGACACGAGAGTGGTAAAATAAGTCCTGGTGATCCCCATTGGTTTCCTCCAGGAACGTAATGAACTGATGGTGCTGAAGTCCCCTTGCTCATATACAGTTAACAAGTTTTACAACTGGATTCACAACATGATTAAGCTGCAATACAGACTTGCACAGATATTCCTGATGAATGATGCAGTGATCTACCATCTACT